CCTTTGTAACAACTAAGCCAAAAATGTAATTAATTCCTAAAATCTTTTCAGGACCCCAACTTTGGGAAACACTGCTCTAAAGGACAAAGCTGATGGGTTAATATGTTGTATTGTCTCTGTGTCAAGAAAACGAGTCTCAGTTTTGGCTGATTTTTTAGTAGTTAATTTTAAAAAGTACATATCTATTTGTTTCTACAGTGAAAGCAGCGCTTGTCGGCAGTGCTGAGTAATAATGTCACTCAATCAGCGCTCTCATTATCTATCCAACATGACTTCTTAATAAGGTCACGCTCCACCTACTGAAAATAGTTCCCTCCTTTTGAGCTTTCTTCAGGTGCAAAGTGCAGTTAATTAACACAGCAGACTGGGAGAGATGCGCTCGCTATTAATTGGAAAGAAAAAGAGGGGAGAAAAAAAGAGAGGAGGGAAAATAAAGCATGGGCTTAATTCAATTAAAACAGCCATAATGGCTTTGGTTGTAAGGCCCGAGGAATCCTTTGTTTAGTGGCTTTGTTGAATCCAGCAGGTCCTGCTTGTCTCCAAGTATTAAGCAGACCACAATGTGGCCTTTCTCTCACTCACACAACTTTGAAAGTTTGACTGGAAAAGTCTTGCCTGCACTACTGTACAAAGTCAATCAAACAAAATGTTTTATTTATTTATTTTTTGCCCTTTATGACCTGAAAAAAGAACGTACTTGTATTTCAAGCTGCTGAACGACCTGCATCTGGACTCGACACTGAGCTGTGCTCCGGTCATCGAGGGCGTGCTCGCTGCTTAGGTGCCTGAAGGGAGAAGACATACAGTAAGAGAGATTACACAGGAGATTAATAATACATTAAATGTCAAAGCTAAAACAGACGAATCATTTTTACCGTGATCTAAATTGTAGAGGATGATAATTACAGTATCAGCCTCACCGCTCTTTTGTTTTTATGATAATATTTCTATACAGGGACAATTATCTATAGGATCCAGTTAAAATCCATTGTTCCAMGTTGAAATGAAGTAATTAGAAGTAACATGGCGGTGTGTGGTGCCATGTTTAACATGACAAAAGGCCCGGCGCCGGTTTAGATGGCTAACTTCAGCGCCACCCTGAGCGCCGCTTTCTTCGGAGAATAAAAACGTGCTGGCCCAGCAGAATGGCGCCGTCGCCTCGATTTATGGAAAACAATACACACAATTTAACACCGCCAACRTTTGACACACAAAGGCGGCTCTTCACTTGAAGGTGCATTATCCCCGCCGCAGACGTATTAAATATATCTGGTGTGTTCGCCTCATTAGAAGGAAAAAGSGAAGCCAGACAGCCGTAACAGTCAATAAGGGTTTTTGTCTTGATTGGATTTCATCTGTAGGCCACAAAAGCTCAACCATTAAGGTAGACCTTTTCTTCCCGGGGAAAGCACACAGCCGCGCAAACACAAATATGTGGCGAAAAGTGGCTCCCGAAGTGTTGTGATGCTGTGGGTAATGAGCCTCTGTCTAAATGATCATTGGAGACAAACTCACAAAAGCAAGCTTTAAGGAGACATGCTCATGAAATGCCAGAGCTGCCACTTTATCTGCAGTAATTATAGGTTAGCTTGCAGACCCTTCAGTGATCATTTACAGCACAGCCTCCAGTGCATTAGAGGGAGTACAAAATCTCTTCCTCTCCGGCTTTCACTTTATCTAACAACACACACACCCCTCGCTTATGTTATCGTGAGCGGCGCACAAACACAGATCGGTACATAAAGAACAAAAACACACACTCCCACCACTTTTTTGTGTCCCTTTACGCGTGTTTATCWGCAGCTCGCAAAACAAGACAACTCAATGAGCGGGTTTCTCTTGGCTTGTCAATCAGAACATTTGTAATCACAATAGTTCTGTACCTTTCAATTAGACTTCGACCATYTCGTCTGCTTTTCTAACAGTTTCAGGTGTAATACTTTGAAAAAGGTTCCCTGTGAATCAAGATCGGGTAGCATTAAAAAAAGGGGAGAGGTGGGAAGAGGGGTGGGTTTCTTCAGCCCCTGTGCCTAATTGCTGTTTCAGAATGTGCATGCAAAAAATTGTGGGGGTAAGGAAGGGGGGGGGGGCATTTCATTAATCATTTAATCACGTCCCTCACAGGATGAGGGAACTAATGTTGCAAATACCCTTTTCATTTCACTGCCTATAATGCTATCTTATGCACTTGATGTATGGCGTGTGTCATGAATTACAGCTGCTTCAAAAGCACAGAGATGGCTGCTCGCTGTCCCTGAAGATACCTCATTACAAAAAAAAGGGGGGGGGGGCGAGTTAAAAAAATAAATAAAATAAAAAGATGTGCAAAACCTTTATTAAGCTCGCATCTCAATGACCAGCAACTTGTTTCTTTTTCCATGTTGTCAGCGTTTGTCTGCGAGGCCTCGCCAGCGTCCGGTTTAAGAGCGCCACGCGTTCAATTTCACCGCTGGCCAGTTAGCGAGGCGATTACGGGAAGATCACTACGTGCGTTTATGAAATATTCAAACGGCAGAGTGTTCAGCTGAGCATTAATAATGCCAAACAAAGACAAGGAGTGGAGGAGGAGGGCAGAGGAACATGACAGGGAAAAAAAAAGCTGTAATGAAAGAAAACCTTATTTACAAAAATTGGGGGGAAAATATTGCCTTTTATGTCTGATTAGAAAACAGGTTTTAATTACTAGAATTGTCTCATTATTACCTCCTATTCTTTGTCTTTTATACCTGAACATTTTATTACAGTGTAACATTGTTTACTGCCACTTAGTTTGCAATATTTATGATCAAATCTGGATATTATGAAGGAGAAATTGACTTTAAAACAAAAATGCTTTAAGAGCATTTTGGTTCATTCAGGTAAACATCAACAAAGACGGTTCAAAGCATTCATTTGGTTCTTCAGGAAGGTTGTGAGGGTTGCTTGAGAACATAACATTAAGGCTGCTGCAATTATTTGGCAAAGTTAATGTACTCGTTAATAAAATCATCTGACTTCATCTTATAATTTACTAAACTAACATCTAAAACACAGTTTTCCTCTGTGCTGCTAGTCCACTTCCTGTCTGCGCTACAGTTTCAAACTATCCTGGTGGAAAAAACAATCTGCATCTGTTACAGCTCGGAGACGGGATACGTTGTAAAAAGTTTTTAAACGCTAAAGAACTTCAAGCTAGCTCACAATAAAAACTTGTTCTGAAAGGTGTCCTTGGCTTTTTCTACATCTTAAAATGTCGGTGCGCAGAGCTACTGATGAGCAGCCAGGAAATAAAAAATCAAGTTTTTTTCAGCTGCTTAAAGGGTTTTGTGAACTTGAACAGGTTGTCTGTTTGCTACACTTTAATGAGAAATTACTGGTTACTTTTTAGTCTGTTTCCCAACCAGCTTTGCGACAATTTCTTCTTAACCTCTATTGTTTTAATTCAGGGCTATTCAACTGGCGGCCCGCGGGCCGGATAAGTTCGGCCTACCAATTGGTTCATTCATCTCAAGCCCAAACTCCCGGTTTTCWACTTTAATTACTCTAAGTTATTTTAGTTCAACATAGACATGTTTGGTGTCTACAGAAACGTCAGAATCTTGGCTACAAGCTGGTAAAAACCATTTCTATGAACAATTCAAGACAGTTAAAATAAAACTATGAAAGTGAAAATAAAGTTGGTTTAAAAATGTGGTAAGTCAGAGATATCAAAATATTATTTGTGGTAAATAAGAGGCAGAAAGTGTTCTTTTTGTTTTTGTWGTTTTATTATCCCTTCTTCTATTACATAGAGTTCTGTATGTTGTATTCATGATTAAATGCAGTAAAATAAACTGTTTCAAAGGTAACAGATCTTTGTAATACTTGGTTTATTTACATCGAGAATTTAATTGCTGGAGATTTGGCCCCTGTGCCGTTGGCTTGCAGTTAACTGTGGCCCCCCGAGAAATTTAGCTGAATAGCCCTGTTTTAAGCAAAAGTAGGCTAAAAAAAGATTTTGATCAATGAGGGGTTTTATTTTTTAATACATAAATTTTAATTCTAATCTTTATTTGCATGTCTTTGTTTACACTATATATACACTGTAAATGCCAAAGTTCAATATGAAACAAAATAAAATTGTTGATTATGACTTTTAGAGGAATCTTGTGCATTTTTATTAATCATAAACTAGTTATATTMATCAAAATAAAAAAGTCAATAGTGGAAGCCAAGTAAATAAATAGAAAGTGATAAACAGAAAGCAATAGGGGAAGTGAGTCAGAGTGGTTGTTTATCAAACCACTAATAAAGATTTCTTTTCTTCTTCTAAAGAGAACAAAAGATCTCAAAGGTTTTTTCCTGTAGCTGGGAACATGAATATGTATAGACCATCAACATCCACTAAGGGCCCAATAATAAATCTACTCAAGCCAGCATATATGGATGATACATTCTGCTAATTGTCTGTGTGTATTATCAGGGGTGATGAAGGCCCTGCAGAGAAACTCCAGCCCCATATCTGTCTGCATGAGACTCACCAATTCACCATGACACACATTTCTACTGCAAATACATGCATATATGTTTCCTCACACACCATTTGGTGGTGGTGGTGGGGGCCCCTCTTTTAAAGGTCTTGTCACAGTGCGGCGGATGCATGGAGGAGCTGGCCTGCCACAGTCTCCGTATGTGTACATTATATAGAGACAAAGACGTTTGTGCTGCTGCCTTTTGGGTTTAATTAGCAGCTCAGGTTAGTGTCTGCTCGCCATTTTAACGTGGAGCTGCCACAAATCAGGAGAGCAGAGCGGTGACAGGAGTTCAACCGTGTGTGTGCTTTGTTTGTATGTACAGAAAGCTTTAGTGAAAAGGTGGGACATTCACTTAAAAAATGTGAAAAGTCAAACTGGAGGGTGCATATTATGAATTGGCTTCTTTTTTTTTTTTGACGCTGTGAAGAGAAATGCGTCTTTAAAACGCACATAAGCAAATAAGTTTTTAAACATTAATTGCTTGTTCTTGTTTTATTATTTTTTTTAACCAAAGGCTGCTCACAAAAAGCAACCTAAATGCACATTTTGTCTCTCATCTCTTTGTTGTGTAACTAACACAAATACACCCGCAAACCGAAACACTCAGCCGCTCAAGAAACAGCCGCGGCGAGATCATTTCATTTTGAACTTCACAGAGCTAATTCAGGGTGCCAGCCACCTCGCGGCTACCTTTTCCAGGTGAGAACACTTTAAAGCGCACTAAGGAGCTATTAAATGCTGATCTTGACAAGTTTCTTCATGCAACAAAACAATAGATGACTAAACGTGTCACCGCCGCTGAGCCGAGCTCCTGCAGCGAGCTACGAGACGGCAGCTTGACTCGGGTCCCCCCCCCCACCCTCCCCTTTCCAACAAACCCAACAACATCTGAGCTGTCATCTAAATCTGACACTCGCTTTATGTAACCCCGTTTAAACTGCGCCCGCGTGTTCGTGCACATGTGCGTCGGTGTGTGTGTAGTCGACTGGCATCTCGGGAAACTTGAAAGGACTCCCTCTGACACCTACAATGACTGCTCCGAGGCACGCCACCGAGCAGCCATCTTTGTTCTGGTGACGAGCCTGCCTTCTTTTGTTGGTGTCTGTTTTCCTGTGCCGGCTGGGTTACGGTGGGTGCGCAGGGCTCAGCCAAGACACGGTTTTGTTCTGGAAAGTGTTCGAACAAAACTGCCTGCCAACCTGTGCACCTGTTTTCTACTTTGAAATCTGTTTTCTCTCCACTTGCCTTCCTCGTGGTTCATCTTTAAAACCGTGCATTCTCCTCCTTTTTTTTTTTTTGTGCACAAGCTTATCAGCTTACAGGAACACATGATTTTATACAGTGGTCTTCCACCTAAGTAACCAGATAACCTACTGGGGCATCGTATCTTTAAAGCACACAGGCTTTGATGTGTTTGCGTGCGAACAGAGCATACATTCCCAAGAAATAGACTGATCCCTTCCCTAACTAAGTGCGCTAAGTTGATCGGACATGATTTCAGAAAACCTGCTAATCCGATGCAGTTTTGCCGAATCACACACAAATGTTTCCAAGCTGCAAGGCAAACTGCTCCACCTGCTCTAGTCCAAGTTGGACAATGAATTCTAGAGTTTTCATAGAAAGGATCCACCACAGCGGATAATCTCCCCACTCTACTGCGACTATATGTCGACTTTGAYGTGTTGTCGCATCTTCCACAGAAAAATAATGCAAACACACTTGTCAGGCTTTAATTGTAATATCTATTTATGTCTGATTCATTTAAATCCACTGCTGTCAATGATAGCTCTTTTAACTATGTTATATGCCCTGACAGCGTGTGAAAATTGAGCCTAATCTACTGGCTGGCAGTGCTTTTGAAAGACTGGAAAACACTGTTTATTACAGCTATTTCAATCCACAGACAGTCCTTTTAGCTTTAATTCACAAGCTGCTGTAGAATTAGCAGAAGCCTGACCTAAATCTTACACCGCTCCCCATGGGTGAACTAGTTTCTTGTACGAGTGCATTTCTTAGCTTTCTGCACCTTATTACAGTCGGTACTGTAGAGAAATGCATGACTTGGAAAATAAGCAGCTACAACGTCCTGATTTCAAGAGTTTCTGCGAATTCACATGGACATTTACAACCCATGAAAAACACTCACCAGATCGTTATTTCACAGTTAATTACAAATCTAATTAGAATATTCAAATTAAAGCTTTCCCTTTCTTTTCTTCTCTGTGTGAGAGCAGGGAGTCAGGGAGAGAGGGAGGGAGAGAGGCTCTYGGTGAGTGGCAATGTGATAACCTGTAATCGGCAGTGCTGCAAACACCTCCTTCCTTTGATGTCCCCCCACTAACATCCTGGCAACAAAGCCGGCCAATTACAAATGAGCTAATTAACTAAATTGTTGATGGAGCATGAAGAGTTCATTTGCTCTGGCTCCTGCACCATGACAACAGTGAATGGGGGGCCTTTGTTGTGGAAGTAAGTGTGCGGCCGTGCGAGTTGCCATTAGCTTTTGACGCTTTTTCACAAACCTATCAGGCCCCTCCACGCCGGGAAGGAAATTTGTTATGGATCAGAGTCGGTTTGAGGCGCGTTTTTGCGGGAGCAGAACCCTGTCAACTAGCTGTCTGGAGGTCAAAACGTGCCCTGGAAAAGAGAGATATTTTGTTCCTGCGAGGCCACAGAGAGAGGAGGCTGCAAAGTACGGTTCACGTTAAAAGCCTAGCATTCCTTCAAGGACTACGCATCACCTGCCACCTTTAATGTCAGAGCTTCAGACTATCACCTCACAGTGAGAGGGGATGAAGCTGAAGCTGTCATCAGTCTCACGAACACACCAAATTCTTGGTGATTATTTGTAAAACTGACCCATTTTTCTGTTTTTTTAATGTTCAGTTTGCTGTGGCAGCCATCTTGAATTTGCACTGACTCCAAAATATTGTATGGATATTYATCCAATGATCATCTGAGATTTTCATTAAAATCTGTTCATGCACAAATAAATGCAACTAATTACAGAGGCGCATGCAAATATATTACCGCCTAGGGCAGGGGGTCTGCAACCTGCGGCTCTGGGGCCACATGGGGCTCTTTGGTCCCTCTGCAGCGACTCTTTGAAGCTTTGACCAAAACTAACATGAGATTACATTTTTAGGAGTTTTATGTGCAGAAAATGTTAGCTTTAGCAGTTTTCATGTCAGTTTGTTTGCAACTATGTGATCAATGCTACTAAGTGAAACATGCTAATTAGATCATGCTAGTAGCCTGCTGGCCACTAATCTTTCTCTCAAATCTATCAGGGTTTAAGATCTTTAAGACTAGACTAGATAATAAT